CTTAAACTAAGGATTCGAAGAAACACTAAAGGAGCTGAATCTAACCATACCTTTTTAGTCTCGTCCTGGACTTACCTACCTGACTGCAGAGCTAGCGATCCAACCTCAAATCTACTTGGAAACTCTTAGCGATCTATCCTGCAATCTATCTATGGCTACGAACCCCCTGGCCAGTTCAACTTTGTAAGTGTATTTTATTTATCATTCATAAACGTAATTCCTGGGCAACTCAAATGGCTTAAATTGTACAAATTCTTTTATTATTATCACGAATATTATACTTATTTTATACTATATAAAGATTTATACTAGTCGGAACTGAATATTATTGTTTTTCAGTTCACGACTAGAGCTGTATGAAACTCCTGTTCTTGAAATACATGCTTGAATAAACTTGTCCGTGCATTAAAGAGGTGCGCCAGGGTATATTGGATGCTCGTCCATTATGTTTGTAAGCCTCCTACCAGCTCCTCCTGGGTACGTATCCTGCTCCCAGTTGGCCCTAGAGCACACTCTGACACGGTAGAAGGAAGACATAAAATGAGGTAAGGAAGCTGTGTGGGAGGGAGGTTGCTATCCCTCCCTCTTACTAGCCAAGAATCCTCTATTCTAAATATTGTTTTATAACTAAAAATTTAAAGAAAGAAATTCAAAACGCAAAAAACAGATTAATTAGTAAAAATTTTAGTATTTACAGAGAGATTTGAAATACTAGATTTCAACATTTGTTGCATGCATTGGACAATTTGGCACATCCGAATGTTCTCCCCTACTCTATCTCCTTCTAAAACACAACAGTTGCATCTCTAATAGATTTTTTTATATATACTACCAAGTTTACCTTGTATTTCTGTATTTTCAAGTATATTAACAACAGTAGAGGTTATCTCGGAGTCCTTGACATCTAATTATTTATTTCATATTCTCTGCCATTTTATCTAAAAAATAAATTGATGATATTTAATGAAATACAGAAAAGGCAACATTTACTGCTTTTAATAAGTTCAAATAAACAAAAACAAAAAATCAAAATTTTCTTAAATGGATCGAAAGAATCAATGTCAAGGATCTAATAAAGTCAAACGTTATTCAAGGGTTCAATTAAATAATTCAAGTATTTTATGAATAAAAATCTGTTCCCAATAAATGAAAATTAAAAGATCTTACTTTGTTTCTTTACGCATTAGGGTAAATAAAAGTTTGAACTGTTTAAATCAAAAATGTTAAAATACAAGAAATATTCAACAATTGTTTTAATTCTTAAGAGCAACAACAACATTTGAATTTTTTGATTCACAAATTATCAAATAGGAATAAATTAACAAACATGTTTATTTCTGATCCGTCTCCTCAGATTGATCGATGTCGTTTATTTATGTGTTTGTTTTCTACATGAGTCTTCTTGTTACATTTGGCTAAAGTTTAACTTAGTTAACTACTTAATTTTTAAAAGAGGGATAAATGATACAAATTCGTTTTTCTGATCTGACTCCTCAGATTGCTAGTTAAATTTAAAACATACTCTATATCTCACTCATGTTTATTTTCTACGTGTTTCTTCAGGTACCTTGCTGTAGTTGAAACAAACTCACATTCAGGACATGGATATCGCACTCCTTCATGTTTATTTTTAACATGACTCTTCAAGTTACAAGCTGTAGTTG